CTCTTCTCTTCCCCTTAATGAATCTGTTAAGAATGCCAGGTTTCTTTACCACTTTCTCAGTCAAGTGAACCCAATGTAATAGTCTTTCAAGAAGAGAGACATTTGGATCAGCTCCTCCTGGGTGGATGAAGAACATCATCCACCCAAGCTTGGCACACCAGGAATTATGTATATGATCTACTTTCTCCCCAAATCTGCCACAACTTTTTTCTGGATCCAAAATGAAACCTCATGGTCTGACAAGAGATAATTATCTTTTTTGGAGATCTATTTAAGTATTACAAAGGCATAGAAATTAAGTCACACTTAGCCATTTAATGAATTGTCTATTGAAAATAAAAACCAAAATTTTAACCTGTAAAATTAACTTTAAAATAAACTTTAGGGCGCCTGGGTGGTTCAGTTGGTTAAGCGACTGCCTTCAGCTCAGGTCATGATCCTGGAGTCCCGGGATGGAGTCCCACATCGGGCTCCCTGCTCAGCGGGGGATCTGCTTCCCCCTCTGCCCTCTTCCCTCTCGTGCTCTCTGTCTCTCATTCTCTCTCTCTCAAATAAATAAAATCTTTAAAAAAAAATAATAAACTTTAAAACTTTAAGATAAACTTCAATAATTTTATGTACATATATGTGATATATCTGCATATGCACAGATTAATACATCGTTTGCATGTTCAAAATTAAGAGCATCCTGGACCATCTGAGATGTAAAAATTTACCATACAGATAGTCATCTTCTATAGGACGTGCCTTCCCCAGGATATCAGAAAAAGACTGATGGATTCTCCCATCATCTAATCCAAAATTCAGAACTTCATGTTTTTCTTTCCTTAACCTCCCAACGGTACACGGACCCTTTCTTCCTTCCTTAGACAATTCACCTCCTCTTTCTTGAGCTCAAGTTTTTCATTTGTAACACACTCAGAGAGAGAAAGAGACTTGTCCAAGTTCACAATGCTTAGCAGGAACTTCAACCCAGATCTCTCTCAATAGATTGTTCTTTTCACTTCTACCTCCTCATTTAACTGAATGCTTGTGCCCTGCTGCCCCATGTCTTCCCTATTCCCACCCTTAGAACGGCTGCAGCACTGTAGGGCCCAAGCGAGGCTAAGCCTGGCAGGAGAAGAATGGGCTCCCTCTGCAAATCAGTGTAAATGGCCTAGGCCCCAAAATGAGGCTCTCGCTCAGATTCTCAAATACCCAACTGGCAAGGGAAAAAGACAAAAATATTGCCACCAAAAGGTTTCAAACAAAACAACAAAACTTCCCTTTAAACTCAACACAGAAAGTCACTTGAGGACAGAGCATGTAGGTCCCTAACATTCTCACCTTGCACCAGACATTCCCCCAGCCTGACCCCTGTGCTAACAGAGAAGCTGCAGATGTGCGAGGGGCCTCTAATTTATTTCCCTCCCTGATTTATTTTCCCCCTGCACATCACTTTGGTATGACAACAATGCTTAATTCGATTACACGTGATATATAAAATCATTGCAGCTGTTCAGAAATATTCACAACAAGAGCATTTCAGATCCACACTCAGACACAGATACACACACACACAGAGACTTTGTGAAAATCTTGTTAAAAATCACACAGGGAAAGGAGAAAACAAAAAGCTCTTCTTCCTACTCATTAGGCATTTCCAGCGTTCCTTGCCCACATGCTTTGTCCGCAGGCACAGAATTAAAAGCACCTCCTCAAAAAAAATTCAGAGGAGGTCTAATGGGGGGGAGGGGTTGATAGCCTTTTGGGGTGCAATGGTGGCAATGCAACAGAAAAATGAGAGTGTGTATCATTTAATTTTACTTCAAGAGGCTGCTGTGAAACCGGGTGCATTTAATGCCCTTTTAAACGCCACGTAAAAGTTTCTCTCCCGCCTGCTCACTCTGTGGGCTACATACCGTGCCTAAGATTAATCCCTCAGGAGTTTTTTATTTCCTATTCTGCCTATCTTTCATCTTCACCCCAGACTAAGCAGATGGATGTGAATTCAAAGTTTTCTGATCTTTAGCACAAGTTATGGAGGGTTATCTTTGGCTGTATATCTTTCCACTGGCAGTGCTCCCTTGGTGATGAAGGATTAACCACCCCAGCTGTCTCTTCCCAGAATGATGCAGTGCCGTGCTCCTCAACACGACAGCATCACTTAATCTTAATGTCCGCTCTGCGAGCGCAGCCGCGCAGGACAAAGCCAATCAACATCAGATGCCACCAAGATGGACCTACTGCTTGGCCCTGGAGTCTCTCACCCTCTCACTCCTATTAATCAACATCATCCAACCCAATCCCAGAGTTCACTTCTCTCAAACCACAGTTAAACCAAGCTGGGGTCCCTGTTAACCATGTGAAGCACGTGGCGGGAGGAGGGGTGGTGGGCGACAATCCCTCACGTCGGGAGCAAGCACACCAAGCCTCCTCGCTGACTGAGAAGCCCTTCCGTCCGCCCACCTCCTCCCCGAGGTCAGCACCCATTCTGGAGCACTCGGGTCGAGTGCCTCTTCACACACTGAAATCCACCTGTATGGTGTAATAGAGACTATCTTGAATGAAACCTACCTGTCTTCCAGAGACCCCACAAGATCTGAAGAGACATATGCGCCCATTCATGACTGAATTCCATCAGCTTCCTTTGCTCCCCAGTCCTCACCCTTACCAGCAGCTTACATGTGCAAAACGGGGCCTAACACTCCACTTCTTTCTGTACAAAAACACTTAGTCTCACAAGAGATGGCACAAATGGAAAGCCTGACCCGACGAAAAATAAATGCCCTGCTTGTGTGACTGATACATCCATGAATACTTTTAATCCTAGTAAGTGTTCTACCCTCCCTCCTTCTCCTTTTTAAGTTTATGTATCACAGGTAGGGAAAGCAAAATGGTACTCTTGGTTTTTTTCTAGCTCCAAGCAATTATAGTAATGTACCTCCCTTTTCCTTCTTGAGGAAGGGAACAAAAAAAGTCAGCCCAGATCTCAAAGGTAAACGTAATAAAACAGTAAATTATTGCTAGAGTTTACTAAACAAATGCAACCTAGTTAAATTTGGAAAAATCTTCACTTTTGCTTACATTTGCAATTTTACTGCTGAACTACTGGTATTTCTTACTTATGCAACATTAAAATGTATAAGAAATCCTCTTGTGTGCTATATCCAGCATCTACTCTTGATTTATAATACCCAATTTAGGGGGGAAAAAACACAACCAAACCTGATTTAAATCACAGATTACTCTGTAAAACACAAGCAAGGAACTATTCCAAATCCTAAATGTAATTTAAACATATTTATATTTTACAGTGATATATTTTCCCCATTCCTTGTCTTACGACTGTAAACTTTCTATAATTATATAAGCAATTTCCCTAAGGTCACAACATTGATCATAGTTATAAATTGCTAAAGTACAACAACACACAGTGAACAGTAAAATATATGCTGGACATCACAAACAGTTTCATCAAATCAGGAGTGGGGTGGGGAAAGAAGAAGGAAAGAAGAATGGAGATAGAGAAAGGGGAAAAAGGAACAAACAAATTTTCCGAGAAGTCATTAGACAATGTCACATCCCTTCCTCAAAGCCATCTGGGACACAGGGTTTACAAGTTGACCTGAGAAGAGCTTGGTTTAATTTTTGATGATATTCTTAACCCTTTGCCATTTGAGAAGGTCAGCTACAGAAGCCACTCAGGTAAAGCACAAATAAGAACCAGGAAGGGAAATCCGACGAGATTAAAACCGCCTTCTGCCATGAACGGTAGTTCTCAAACTGTATTCTTAGGAACGCTGGGATTCCATGGAGGCATTCTTGGGATAAAGCAGGAGAGAATCAGGCTTCTCCTTCATTCTTTAACCAGAACAACTTCTCTATGATCTGTTACCTCTTTGGGCTCAGTGGAAGAAGTCTTACTTGGAAAAAGTTTTAAACACTGTAAAAAGAAAGTAATTCGGAAGCTACCACTCCTGATACTGTCATAGAGAAGGATGAGATCCAAAAGAAGCTATTTGAGGGTCTCCAGTTGCCAGTGTGTCTGGTGTTTTAGGGTAACTTTTCTCTTAATGAAAAAGGATGCGGGTGCTTTCTGCACAGGATGCAAATGGGGTTGCTGTCAGGCGCCTCGAGCGTCCAGGGTTCCAGCCAGCTGCGCTGACAGGCTGGTCACCCCTGATGGTTAACAATGCCATACTCCACTCCGGGCAGCTGCCTATTAGGAAGACAGCTGAGACCCAGAGGGGAAGGAGAAATCAGTGTGTGACAGGCACTGCCCTGCTCAATGTAAAATAAAGTTAAAAAGACCCATGTTCTCTGAAAGCTTAGAAATGCAGCAGTTCCAGTTTTTCCTTCGAAACATTTTCCAAGTGAGGCTAAGCATCTCTATAGCTCAGGATCCTGCTTCAGCTCTCCGAGCAAACTACAGAGCTTTTAGTACGGGTTACACATGCTTTCCAGGACAATGGCCTTTGAGAGATGGACCTCCTGAAGCACATACTGCTCCCCATATTCCTTTCATTCTGTACCCCTTCTCTGCACTCATTTCTGATGGGGCTTAACACTTTACTTCCTTTTGCACAAAAACACTTAGTTTCTTCCTCTCGTCTTCCTCTCCCCCTCTGCCTCCGTTTTTCGACTTATTTCCTATCAATATTTCTACTTATTTCCCCCACATAAACGGTATCTGGTTTCCTGCAACATGACAACTTTCCCTAACCAGAGGGAATATGCATACTATTTCACGGCGCAGGCATGGACCAATCAGAACAGAAGCTGGCTACGAGGAGTGAACAGTTACACTCAAAGGTGGGCTGAGTCGATGTAAGTCTTGGCCCCAACGTCGGAACACAGAGAAACTGTGCAGCCCGCCAGTTAACTGTTCCGGCTTCAGAGTTCAAATCTCCCCTCTACCAGCTTCCTCCTGTACAACTTTACCTGATTTAACTCAGAACCCATCTCCTCTGTAAAATGGGCATAACAGTTCCTACCTGTGAGCAGGAAATGAGTCAGTGCAAGTAAAACAAAAATGCAGCATCAGCACTCCATAGATGTGAGATAGTTATTTCTTCCCCTTTCTGTCCTTAGTTTGTTGGCTGTTTTCCTGTTTGTCATTTGGATTGCCTGAATGTTTTATGGGTCCCCAATCAACAAGCAGAACAACATAAAAGCCTTGCAGATTCTGGTCTTCGAAGACGGGGATCTCTCCAGACCCTGGGTGGGTTGTGGGGGGGCGGGGGGGGAGAGGGGTTAAATCTTGGAGCTGCTAAACCACAGATGATAAAGGTCGTGCTGCTGGGTTATCACCCAGAGACCCATGAGGGCTGAGGGCTTTTACTGGATTATTTATCACTTCAACAGCTTTAAAAAAAAAAAAAAACTATCAATTTTAAAAATTACACTTATCTTTTTGAAAATTATACGTATAATTTTTATCAGAGCAAAGCTTAATACAACCCATGAAAAAATGAACACATTAAAATCACCTGTAATCCTGCTGCCCACACTATGCTAATACAGCTAGTATTTTATTAAGAGCTTATGGTATGCCAGCATGGTGTTAAGTTTTTTATTATATACCTATTTAATTCTTACAATTCTTTGATACAGATCATAAGTCTTAAGAGTAGCTAGGGCATTAGCTCAAGGTAACATGATCACACTGTTCCTTAGCAACAGCATCAGGATTTGAACCCAAGTCTGAATCCTAAGCTTCTATGCTCAACTCCACCTAAGATTCCCTCCAGGAATCCTAAGCCTAGAAAAAGGTAGACAGGTAGGTAGCTAGGTAGAGGGGCAGACCCAAGAAACTCTCACTGAATTAAGTTTTACAAAGGATTAATCAATATAAATACTTATACCTAAAATGTATTTGGTTCAGGTACAAAATCTTCAATCCTATGAGCCTTGAATTTCTCTAATAAGATAGTTTCAGTATGGGCAAGTCTCACGCACAAGGACTTTCCACATGGCCTCTCAAAAAATGAGTAAACACAGTGCAACACAAACCCACAACCACAACCCATGGGTTTCCCAGAAAGTAACAGAGCAAGGCAGACCAAACATTAAAGAGAAATACTGGGGGGGGGGGGGGGGGGGACATGAACTTGACAATACACAGGGGCAGTAGTGTCTGCACAAATATTTTAATCAGAAAAAACAGCTTGGGGCAACCTATTAAATGTCAAGAAGGGCCAATTCTTTTAATCCTTCAAATCAAATGCCTCTTGTTTCATCCATTCCTCTAACTGCAGAACCAGAAATATTCCACTTGGGACTTCTTCCATCTCTCCTTGTGGGTGCTGGTTGTGGCCTTCATTATGGACAAAAAGGCCCACTGGGCACTTTTTTTTTTTTATCTGAAAAAAAATCTGTACCTGCAGGGAGAGCAGATAGACTCAAATCCCCCTGAAAACTGAACTGAAAAACTTTGAAAACAAAGTATCCAGCAATTGACGGACTCAAAAGGCATTAAATAGAGAGGAAGTGGGGAAACAAGGCCATAATCCAACGTGAGAGGCCAGATCCGGTCCTCAGACACTCGGGCACAGTACCCCAGGACTCCAGTCTACCCTGGCCTGAGGCTGCCAGCTCCTAAGAAAGTTAAATAATCCTAACTGCTGGAAAAGAGCTCCTGAAAGAGAATGGAGATCCAGCCTGTCATTTACCAAGTACTGAGTCTGGTAACCCAAAACACAAAGGGTCATCAGAGCCTGTATCCCCAGTTCCCCATTTCTTGGGAAACACCCCAGAGTAGCCCCAATTCCTCAGACACCCAGAGCAAAGCAAGCCCACAACTGCTCTCGTTTCTCAAAAAAGGGTAGACAGTGAGCTTCTGTGTCTAAAGACAGGAGTGGCCACTCTGCTCTGGGCCTGTGTTACATTCAGGAGCACAGACCTCATCTTGCCAGATTTCTCAAGAGAAGCCAGAGATAAGGATTTTCTGGTGAAACCTCCAGTTTCTTTAAAGGTTCACAACTAATTTAAAAAACTGTTAAACATAGGGCAGGCCAGAACAGAGTGCCTGATGTTCAGATTCAGCCCCAGGGTGACCAAAACCTCCAGGTGAGATCTTCCGGGATTGAAGAAAATGATTAATTTAAATCATACTAGAAATGGACCCTCTTATCTCAGTCCTGACTTTCTCTAATGTTGCACCACTGAAGGAGGTTTTGTTTTTTGTTTTTTGTTTTTTTTACGAATTGGCATATTTGTTTATTTCTCAATTTGTGAAAATGTCCTTAATTTGTTGATGTAGCGAACAAATTTCAACTCTGATTGCTGTGCAAAAGAACAGAAGATAATCTGCTTTGCAATGAACTTTAAAGTTCAGCTGCACACAGGCAACATGCTACATATGAAAAAATTACTAACTGAACTACCGGTATTAAATACTGAAAAAAGTTAACAGCTTATTATAATTTATTTTATTTAACAATCTAGGAAGTTCGCAGCCATCAGCAGTTCCAGTGCAATTTCAGGTGCAACTGGGAATTCAGGAATCTCTGTGGAGCTGTCAGTGTAGCGAACCTTGTAGGTAAAATACATGCACACTTTTAATAGCACATGTGAAGGAATCTCTCTAAAATTGACTTCATTGGTTCCGTTCTCAGCAAACCGACCTGGGCCACTCAACATGGCTTTTATTGTTCCAGATGTTAGTGCATGTTCTCTTTTTACAATAAATTCATGACCACCCGAAGATATCAATTTGACATACATGGCATCAGGGCCATCACAGCCACCATACGTTTTCTCTTCTCCATCATGTTCTTATGAAATCCTACTTTACTTCCACGGGAACTTTAGTAGTTTCTCATCAGCCCTGCAGCCACCACAGCCCAGGACGTTTGCTTTTGACTTGAAGTAAAGAGTTTCCATCCTGTTAAATCTCTATATAATGCTAGTTTATCAACATAAACTAAAAACAGTTCATCAGAAACGAATTTTGAATTCTATTAAGATGATCTGGTTTTCTCCTTTGACCCTAGTGTGATTATTTATATCAATAAATTTCCTAAGATTGGAAAAGAAAAAAAAATGCTTAAAATATACTGTGGGAGAATCCACTATAATATGTGCTTTCAAAGAAAAAATGTAAACAGAGCTGTAATTTTTTTAACTCCTTGATTTTGCTTTATTGGCTCAACCCTTAGCTGTGACTTGCTTTCTCACCCATATTCCAGCAATTTATGCTAATCTGTCAAAATCCTAGTCATAAAACTGCCACTGACATCATCGGTTTCAAAAAATTATTCACAACTGGATCCATCATCAGCTCAGTCTACACAACCAGTTTCAAATTCCAAAGCAATTCCACACCACAATCTACATCTGTATTCCCAAATCCACTTTGATACAGTTTCCCAAGTCCACTTTGATACAGTTCACTCTTTGGAAAGATGTTAGAATGACAAATTTTCTAGAAACAGGTTTTGTGGGGGCAGGAGGGGAGGGGAGGCAGCTTTAAATAAAAAAGATGTAACTGGCTTAAGACAGAAAAGACATTCAGTGCATGAATGTAAAAACACACTAAACTTGGCTTACAAAGTTGTTAATTATGTATTTGACAGTGAAATATCGCAAACAGCTGGGGCTAAAGAATACAAACTCACACAGGGAGTGGGTAGGAGTGGGAAAAAATACATTCAGACTGGCAAACGCCATCAAAGCGGTTGTTTAAGCTCAACCTCCTCTACTGTAACAACTTTTAACACCTATGTAGCAGGGTCACCTACCTCAACCAAAATTCACAAGCCAACCTCCCAACTCCTATTCCGAGGCTTCTACATGCAGCCCCGGCTCTCAATTACAAATTCTCCTCCCCCATTTAGAAAGTTGGACCATACAGTTTACAACCATCAGAGAAAAAGAGCTATGCCAGAATCTAAAAGAATGTGCAAACCAAGGCTGTAAAAAGAAAAGCCATCCCTTTGAGAAGTTTGGTTTTATTTTTTTTCAAAATATGTAAATAGTCACAATGCCTTGGGAGACTGCTCCAGAGAACTCCCAGAGCCTGACATCCCATCTCCCCTCAAACACATGCTCAAGCGCTCACCACATCTTCTGCCAGGAATCCACTCCCCTGGGACTCCTCCCCCAACCCACAGGGAGAAGCCAAGGTCAGAAATATGCACATGGAGTTGTTCTGAAAATTCTCACCAGCAGAGTCCATGACAAGGCAAAGCCCAAACATGACATCTTGGGGGTGGGGGGCGGAGGGAATGGCTGCCTGATCCTCTCACATTAGGAGGAAAAATTCTTAGGAAAAAAAAAAAAAAACCCACTCTTTAGGGATCCTCTCAGCAGTTGTATGCTGTAAAAGATACAGGCCTCCCCTATACTGGATACAAAGACAACTTGGTTCCAGCCCCACAAGACATACCTGGTGGCAAAAAAAAAAAAAAATCTTTAAGTCCCCCGCACATTTTAACATTTGAGTGGGAGTCAGAAGGGTGCAACTTAGAAAGTATAACATTTCTAGAAGTATTTTAATATTCTAATAACTCTAACAGTATATTGGTAAAGCCTTCCCTAATAATTTGATATTGGCTAGCTAAGATGATAAATTTCAAAGCCCAAAGGTTAGAGCCTTCTAGGAAAAAAAAGGGGGGGGGGCGTATCACAACAGCCCCTTTTTTTAGATGGGATGATGAAACATCCTTATTTGTCTGCCTCCAAGTATTTTTATAAAATGCTGAGAACAACCAGTTTGTGACTTAAGCTTCTCTGAAAAGGACCAACTACCAGTGGACAGCCCAATTCCTTCCTCTAGTAATCGCCCCCAAAGATTTCCACATCTTGGACAAAGGTTTAAGAGGTTGATACTCCCTCTGACTATAGATCATATTGTCTCTAAGTGTGAGAGGCACCAGAAGAACTCACCTTCCAGGGGAAGGTACCAAGCTCACTCTTCTCTAGGATACTGACCTTCTACTATAAGGTAGAAGGGCAGAAGTGTTAAGGTTGCTGATGGGCAACAAAGGTCTTGGAATATTAGGAGCCAATAAAATAACAAGAAGTAGGGTCTACACAAGGACAGAACATATTATGGCATTCAACAATGATTTAAAAACCAACCAAACAAAATCATCACCCCAAGCAGCCTAAGAGCAATGTGCCCACATTCCAGAATAAGGGGAACCAGTTTAGGGTGGGTCAGTGGAAACAGCCCTACCCTCCAGAAGACCATGGCAAAACCACATCAATGCCAGTCGTAGGAGATCACTCTATTTTGCAAAATATAAAACTGTTTCATTGCAAATCTATGGAAACAATGTCACAGGGGCCAAGGGCTGTCACTTTGAGTCAAAGAAGGCCCATTTCAGTGTGGTGCTGATGGCCAGCGATGTCAAGGCGAATTACACCCCCACTTGCTGAGAGAGAAATCAAAGTCAGGAGAGAAATGTTCAGCTGAAGACACACCCACAGGAGTTCGGAAAGCCAGCACTCCTTCCAAGCCATGCTAATCTATCACAGGCTCAAACAAAGGATGTGTTTTTTCCCATCAAGAAATGGAAAGGACTGGTGATGGGACAGTCTGAAGGGAGTGTTAGCAAGCTCTTCTGAGGCCAAGACTTCACTCCTGCTCCCATGTGGGGGTGGGAAGGAGGGGGGAGCCACAAGGCTCACTGCCTAGTGGAACCTGAATATAAAAAGGGGAGTAATGAGCAGAAACTGAAAGGGAAGGATGCCCAAAGAAACGGGCACCTGGGTGGCTCAGTCGTTAAGCGTCTGCCTTTGGCTCAGGTCATGATCCCAGGATCCTAGGATCGAGTCCCACATCGGGCTCCCTGCTTGGCGGGAAGCCTGCTTCTCCCTCCCCCACTCCCCCTGCTTATGTTCCCTCTCTCGCTGTGTCTCTCTCTGTCAAATAAATAAATAAAATCTTTAAAAAAAAAAAAGAAAAAGAAAGAACTGGAGTTCTTACTGCAGGTTATACTGAGGTTCCAGGAGCTGCCTGAGTGGACTGGTAGGTGGTACAGATGGGATGCATGACTTGGATTAAGAGATAACGTTATGAGGGGGCACCTGGGTGGCTCAGTCGTTAAGCGTCTGCCTTCAGCTCAGGTCATGATCCCAGAGTCCTGGGATCGAGCCCCGCATCGGGCTCCCTGCCCAGCGGAGAGTCTGCTTCTCCCTCTCCCACTCCCCCTGCTTGTGTTCCCTCTCCCACTCCCCCTGCTTGTGTTCCCTCTCTCGCTGTGTCTCTCCTTGTCAAATAAATAAATAAAATCTTTAAAAAAAAAAGAGAGAGATAACGTTATGAGATCATGGGACACCTGAGTGGCTCAGTCGTTAAGCATCTGCCTTCAGCTCAGGTCATGATTCCAGGGTTCTGGGATCCAGTCCTGAATCGGGCTCCCTGCTCAGCGGGAAGCCTGCTTCTCCCTCTGCCCGCCGCTCCCCCTGCTTGTGCTTGCTCTGTCTCTCTCTCTCCCTCTCTGACAAATAAATAAAATCTTGAAAGAAAGAAAGAAAGAAAGAGAGAGAGAAAGAAAGAAAAAGGAAGAAAGAGAAAGAGAAAGAAAGAAAGAAAGAGAGAAAGAGAGAAAAAGAGAGAAAGAGAGAAAGAGAGAGAGAGAAAGAAAGAGAGAGAGAGAGAGAGAGAGAGAGAGAAAGAGAGAAAGAGAGAAAGAAAGAAAGATTATGAGATCTTGGGCGTGTTACAATCTCCCTGGACCACAGCTCAGTTATAACCAATGAGAAGACTCTGCAGTTACATGGTGTCATGGCTAGCAATTTCTTCTCTAAGAAGAGGTCAGAAGGAAGATCAAAAGGTAAAAGCAAGTTCAGACCTAGTTCTAAAGTAAGAGAAGAAAGGGGGAGATACTATGCAGATTCCAAGTAAGAAAAAGCCCTTATATATCCATATATATGAACCAAACATGAAGGACTGGGAGGGAAGCAGACTCCAATTACACAAATTGTGTTGATATCCGTCAAGTCAAACCTAGGGGTAAACTTCTAGTGAGGAAAGCAGCAAGTTCCTCAGGCTTCTTGATGTAGACCTAAAGTTATTTAAATTCTTGATTCCAAGAACAGAGGCTGTTCAAGTCTCTATTCAGCCTGGGACAGACAAGGAATGGTAAGTGTATGCCCATAATTTAAGAGGAAAAGGAAAAGACAGGCTACCAATCATTAAGTATCTTCTGGGTGCTAAGCACTGCTATATGTGTGTTTATGAAGCCTAGCATGGCCTAGCATAGCCTAGCATGGAGCCTACTTAAAGAAGTTTGAAAAGAAAAGTGAGATTATAAAATTTTCCACACACACTCATCAACAGTCGTGACTCTAGATGTGACAGAGATTAAGCCACTGAGAGCCACTGGGAAGATTTCTTCTTGGGACTCTGACATCTCTTGTGGAAATTCAGCATTACCAGGCCCTGGATATCTCAGTTTGGGGAAATGCCTAGCCATTGCAAGATAACTATTCATGTTGTCCTTGCTTTCCAGAAACCCAATGACAGAGAAGACATCTTGGTTTTTGCATCTCTCCCAAAAACCAGAGATGTGAGACCGGCTCCTGAATCTATGATAGTCCTTGAAAGAGTAGGGAGGGGAAAGGATTCCCCCCTCTTCCCCCCTCCCAGCACCATCACCAACAATCCCCCCATTCCCATATACACAAGCCCGTGTGCAGTGCAACAGAACCAGCAGGTTCTACCTTAATAATGAGCCAGAGACTGGCCAGCCCAGCTAGGGGCCATGGGTCTGACAACCCCACAAAAAGGGATCATCCTGGGCTCAGTCCTTCCATCAGGCAACTTTTAACTTGGAACATAAAAATGAGAAAGTGCCTTTGTTTAAAACCCTCCTGAAGTTTCTGATCACGATGATTTATGTAAATAAAATGTTAAATTAAAATGTAGGTGTTAATAAAATTACACATATGATGGAATGGCTGTTCTTTTTAAAACTGATCTGCAATAAATTTTCTAAATTCTGATTGCAGGTGATTCAGGCCTTGAAAGCTTTGCCAACAATAGCCAGCAGAGGTCTATTACTGAAGTGGTATTAATATAGCTATCATCACCAATTCAAAGCAGATAATAAAGGACTGACACATTTATTATCATTATTAATTAACAGTTTTCTGAGATGGAATTAAATCAATATGCTGCTCTGATATCATTTTAACTAGTTATGCAAATCAAACATTTAGAGCCCATGAACAGATATAAATGCCATTCAAAATTCACTTCACACTTATTACTGTAATATCAGAACTTTCAGGCTTTGCTAGTAAAAAAAAAAAAAAAAGGACTTAATGCTCATTTAATTACACTCAGACATAAAGCTTATGGAATGAAAGTTGAAATAGCTGATTAGTTAGGAAGTCGTAGTAAGGCTATAACACTCGGATAGACAATGAGATAATAATGTGAAAACGTGGGGCTCTGCACAGAGTGGTTCTGGCAGATCCTATTAAAAAGAACAATGAGATGTGTAGGAGAATATGTTTTAAAATTACAAAGTTGAGAACCCTTTCTTAAGTCCAAAAAGGAGAAAGGGAGGGAGAGGAGATAACAAGAGAGAAAAAGGCTGGGTTGGCGGGGGTGGGGGGAGGGACCTCCAACTAGTCATATATAAAATAGAAAACTACCAGGTTCAATTGCCCAACATTTCTTCCAAACTAGACCATGATGCTGATTGTGACTGCAGAGTTCTTTTCATGCAGAATGCTAACTATGCTTTCCCGCTTTTCTTATCTGATGAGCAGAGGTCTCTCTCCACACCCAGGACAGCTATCTAGAGAGTCATAGCGAGTCAGAGTTCTCGGCTTCTGAGTCCTGAGGCAAGACAGGATGCAAGAGATCTGGCACTTAGTGATCTAGGTTACTCATTTGCAAAAGCAGCTGAGCCCCTGAAGATGGGCTGCACTATAAACTCTACCAGAGGGATCGGAACAGCCTCCAACTCGGGCTCTGTGGTCAACAAGGAGGCTGCTTGCTGTCTTGGGGGACTGAAGGCAGTGTGCAAAGACTCAGTGACTTCCTGGACCCCTCCACTACTCAGGTGGCCTTCTGGAAACCAGCTGGCATGTCCACAGTCAGGAGTTCTGATGGACCAGGGCTCTAAGGTCAGGTCAGGGACAAATTTAAGGCCCAGGAAGGACCAGCCAGACACTTTGAGTACTGCCTGGCCCTGGCTTTGGCTTGCTGCCAGGAGCTTACGTTTGGGGCATTTTTATGAAAAGGGTGGAAATGTTTCCACAGTGTAAGTCAGTCTGGGCAGTACCTCTCACTCTTCCTTTTTCTCCAAATCCTATTTCTATCCTCACGGGGAGGAGTGGACTTGACTTTCAGTGCAATCCATTTCAGAGCCAGAAAATGTATAGTACATATACCAACAGAAAATGTGGTGCCAGTGTTCTGCTGTGACCCAAAAGGAATATAAAAATAAGAGAATGAAAAGTTATTATCCTTTCTGTACCTTCCACCCCCAAACTCATTAGCATCTTAACATTCCTAAAGCTCAAGTCACAGACCAGTATCCATTGTTGTATTGTCATTTTCCATGGAATTGTACAAACAAAAAAAATTGTAAAGAGTTAAAACTTTGTCCACCAGGATTCTGCTGTGCGAGGTGGAAAACATACCTATCAGTATGAGTAGTGGTGGGCACGGGGAAATACACAAAGACAAGACTGGAAGGTGTACAAGAAAATACTTAACGGTAGTCCACTCAGAGTAGTCTGGTAATGGGTGATATTTTATCATCTTCTTTGTGCTTTGATTTATTTTCCCAATCTTAATATGTCCATTCTTCCCATGAAGAATATTTACCGAGGGCCCAGCCACTGGCCAGGCACTGTATGGGATGCTAGAAACTCGACCATCAAGACAGACAAGGTCCTGCCCTCTCAATGAGAACAGCCTAATAGGGGAGGCAGAGAATTAAACAATCAATGGCACAGGTGATGATTTGTGTGATTTACAGGGGGGGAGGGCGGGGGGAGGATTTACAAACCTGTTACTGTTGCTTAATTAAGATTCTACACATTAGGGCGCCTGGGTGGCTCAGTTGGTTGAGCGACTGCCTTCAGCTCAGGTCATGATCCTGGAGTCCCGGGATCGAGTCCCACATCAGGCTCCCTGCTGAGCAGGGAGTCTGCTTCTCCCTCTGACCCTCCCCCCTCTCATGTGCTCTCTCTCTCTCTCTCTCATTCTCTCTCTCAAATAAATAAATAAATAAAATCTTTAAAAAAAACAAAAAAGATTCTACACATCTTTCCTGGGTCTTGAATAAATTTGAAATCTCCCAGTTTGGAGTGTTCGTATCTTCCCAAAATGGGAAGCAAGCCCGTAGCATGTGCCTGAGGCTTGAGAAATCACTACACTATCTACTTTTTAATGGTAGAGGTAGAAGACTTCTATCCATAGCCAAGATCCAAGCATCTAGATAAACTACTTTGGTGGTTAGCTGAGCTGGTCTTGCAACCCTCTCCATTCTGATGCTCACCAAGATTTTTACAGACTATCACCGAAAGATAACAGATCTGAGGCCCTCTACATCACCTGTGGCCGTCAGCCCACCCTCCCCCCTTCTATATTGACTGTCCTGGAACAGCCACACTCAACAATCCCATCTGTGGACCAAACCT